TGTATAACTTTTAATTGTAAGAATTACAATCAAAACATATTTCTGATCAGATAATTTTAAGGCGAGAAATTCATTCGGTTTATAAAAAAATGAAGAGAATTGAATACGCAAAGAACACTCTCCCCACCTAAGCGGACTTAAGTAAGAGAGATAAGTTTAGGTCATTCATGCTCATACAACTCTCAGCTTAAAACCTTAGAACATACATATTCTAGTGAAACTAAAAGAGCAAAAGATTTGTGGGATTACGTGGCTACCTCTTGGGATGTACTAGTTTTTTAGCATCTCTAGGCGTAAGCAATTCTACCGAGCCGATTCAACCAAACTGATACTAACACAACTTTGATGGTATCGGTTCCAAACTAAAGACTTTAGAGTTGTCTAATTTGTACCAATTGTTTAAATAGGTAAAAGGAGTCTGTCGATGCCTGTTTTTTTTTTTTTTGAAACCAGAAAGATCATTATATTAAGTTAAAGAGTCCCTCTCAATGATCTTACAGAAAGCAAGTGGCAAACCCGAGAAGCAGGAGCCAAAAGTCGATGCCTGTTTGTACCTTTGGTTTTCGACACAAACTGATACTGAAAAATCCACCAGGTAAAAGAAATGGCAAGCCCAAGCCCACCACAGCCATTTCCTGATACCTAAACCCACACACATATGACATATATAGCTCTTCCATACGAAATAAACATGAGCTTGTATCTATGGTTTTTTATTCCGAGCTTACACTTACACTTTTACTTATACTCTTTGTTAGGATAATTCTTAGACAAAATTTAGATTAATTTCGCTGGGTATTCAAAATTAGGGTTATGGAAATCAAAATCCATTTACATGTTTTTTTTTGTCGAAACATATTATACATTAATATTCCGGAATATAATGCACAAACACAACTTGAACAAACACAATACCTGGATTGTTGGTAAATAATTTCTAAACAGATAAGCTACTATATGTTTGTTCCACAAATATATATCATAAGAGTTATACATAAAGCCATACAAAATTAGAGCAGTTATAACATATATTCTTGTCATAGTATCAAGAATAATGGATACCCTCCTGTAATTTGGATGACAATGGGCTAGTTAGTATCAGCATCGCCTTCAGGACGTTAGACTACACCATGACGTGCCTTAAGATTCGGCATTTGATTAACCAGAGATGATATAGATGTCCTTCCACATTTGTATCTATTCGAAACTTGAGGTTGCAGCTCCATCAGCCAAAATAAACTCATGATAGTACACTTTTCAAAATCTGGGTCTTCATCATCATCCCATCTTCGTCACCATCTTTTTTTGTCCTCGCCATGGACCCCGGTGTCTTCGCTGCCACTACCCACTTTCGTAACCTTCTTTGGCCGAATGGAAACAAGCAAACCAACAGGAAAATTTTAATTTTACTCCTCTCAGTAGAGGTAATTAAAAGGCTAGATATAATCTGAACCTGTTGAAAGTTTGTAACAGTACAAACACTTTAAGGAAACTTGAAGTCAAGAAGAAGAAAAAATTGAATTTTTAACCAAATAGATCTAGAACCTCACGATTCCGCTCTTCTTCCAACAACTAATCCAAATAAAAACCCGAATGTTGGATTTAATTGTTGTTAAACTACTTCAAAGAAAAAAACGAGAGTGTAGAGATCTAATATAATTGGGTTTTGATTGTTTAATTTTGTGTAAGAGAATGAAAATAGATAAAAAAAAGGAGATGAGGAAGAAACAGCTGCTAGTTGAGAGCACTTTGAAAAATAACGGTTGCAGTTACTTCCTATTTTTTTTTTTTCTTACAGAAGAAACATAACTACTATCATTAATAGCTTGAGAGCACACATTTTACAAATATTTACACCAATTATAAGTCTTAACATATCACACAAAATATTGGGGTTATAATAACCAGGGTATGCAACTTTTGGTTAGCCCCAAACGAGCTACGCCAAAACAGCATCCCTTCCAACCCGTGCATAGACATATACCGAAAAGAAAAACATAAAAACTGCTACAAGTTCCATGACATACACAAAGTTAGCTGGGCGCAGGAATATAATAAGCAAGCAAGGTTTGAATTACCAGCATGATAATTGAACCCACAACTCACCAATCCTGCACCGAGTAACAACCATCACTGGAACATCAGCAAATATAATAAAACTTGACATTGAGAATCTTGATCAGCCCCACAACCATTTCTTCAAGAGTAGGACAATTGGCAAAAGCGTTGATGCTGTGAAGGAGAACAACCCTGGGTGCATGCTTGGGGTGAGTGGGGGGACATCTATCAAGTAAAATGACCACTCTAGTGCTACGTATTTTGAAACCTATAGATAAATCAATATAACTCTGCCATTGTCCTGTACCTTGAAACCTCTAGTGGAGAGGCCTGATCAGAATTGTCAACAACTCATCACTGTAGATCACCAAAATTCAAAAGCATTTTCGTAAACAGCATAGCATATCAATGCAGTATGATTGATTCCAAAAAATTTTCCAATACAATAGCCTTGTAACCGCAAGTTGAGATAATTGTTTCTCGCAATAAGAGCGACAAAAAAGTCTTAATATCCCTCCCACCTCTAGAGGAGACATCAGACTTCACCCCTACAGGGGATACCTCTGGCAACTCAATATCCCCCGCTTGTTGTTTTCCAGTCCTCTCATCGCGGCCCTGCCCTTCCTTTTCCATCTCAAATGCTTATACCAGTCTAGCGTAGATGGCTGGTATGTGGCCTTGTAGGTTCTCGCTATCCTCTTCCAACTCAGCTTTGAAGCTGAGGCGTGAATTGGTGAGGCATCATGCAGGTCTGTGATTAGTTCGGCAACCGTATTCATCACCCCTGTATGTGCTCTTCGGGCTGACACTTTGGTCGGTGACATGAGTACTATAACGTCCCGGCTTGTCGACTGTCACTACAGACCAACACGGGACCTTTCCAACATGCTTTGTCCTCACTCGCACGTTTCCGAGGAAAACTTCCCAGGAGGTCACCCATCCTGGAATTGCTCCAAGTCAAACACGTTTAACTTTGGAGTTTTTCTAGAATGAGCACCGAAAAGGTAGGTGCACCTTGTTGATATAGTTAGTACCCATCAAACCGTTTAAGCTACTCTCAATTGTACAGTCTCATACCTGTACAACCTCGAAATCGCTCTAACTGTGCAGCCCCATCCCTACACAGTCTCAGGATCTCTCCTTTTTCGGTGTGGATCGGTTCATTCCCGTGCTCCTCTGTCTAGAAGCCTGCCAGAAGCCGCTCCTTGTCCATGCTCATCCCGGCACCGGCGTACACTTCCCGCCCTCATAGACCCCGGGGTGTCACAAGTACTTCCTCCGTTGTCTTTCGTTTCTTTCTGGCCGGCACCATTAGCGAGTCAGAGTAGGAGGTGGAAGATGGTTCTGTGTTTATTTCTTCCATATCTTAGGCCCGGTCTTTTTCCAAGTGGTCCTCCTGTGCTTTCAAAGGTACATGTTTTCTCACCAAGTAGTGTCTCCTCAACATCTCCTTGGCCCTCATCCAGAGGTTATAACTATCCTCAACTTGCCTCTTAACTCCCTCCCCTGGCCTAATTGGTTTCGACCATCGACTAGTTGGATGGGTGATTTTACCGCATCTATAGCAAAGTTCCCTGAGACTTTTGTATTGAAATCTTGTCTAGATTTCAGTTCTATTTGAATCTAAACAGACCACTCCCAAAAGCAACGGCATATCAGTCATAATCTCGATTTGGGCTTTTATAAAGCCTTGCCACCCTAACATCACCTCAAGAGTGGGTTCATAGAAATGAAATACCGGAAAGATTTGCTCATATCTTAGCTATCTTATCATGTGTGATAACAAATTAGGAGGGATCTCATGTATTTGAAGCTAGAATAAGACTTGGAGAAAACTTACCTGACTCAACATCATGTCTGGAAACCAACCTTTGAGGCAGAAATGCATGTTAGACACGAGCCAAGGAGAGCCCTTTAGAACCTTCTTCTTGTCCTCTTCCAGTTCAAAGCCGATGAGGAAAATGTTGTTTGGCTTCGGGATTATGCGAAAATCACCTTTAATGTATCAGATGTTCATCATCTGACGTCGGATCTGGCTGATATGAGGTCTTCTTTCCCTAGTATCTTTCCAAAAACATAAGTCCGGGCAACAATCGTCCGCAGACTCTCTTCCGGTGTGACCTCACTTGATACGCTACTATCCCCTCCCAGATCTACAATCCAGCGAGAAGACGAAGCCGCCATGGCACCGAGTCGTTGCAGACATGACCAGATCGAAACTGGTGCTAGAAAAACAGAGACTAATTTGATAAAAATAGCCCCCAACTCAGTTACTGTGGGCAACTAAGTAGCCTCAAACAAATTGCAGAGCCATAATGGAGAAAGGCATGAGTTGAAACGTTAAGTAGCTGAAAGTTGTGGTTAGGAAATGATGAAAATCTAGTTTGGTGTTTCAGAGTATTATACGCGCCATGGCAGTGCTTACAATGAATTACTCTCCTGATATAGTTCTTAGTCACACTGTTAAATCCATTTACATGTTTAATCCGGCATTAACTTGACCCGTGAACACAAATTTTGGAACTAAACTTTTAAGATGGTAATTTGTCAAAAACAAAAAAAAAATCCGGTGGTAATTTGTTTTGAAACAAAATTTGAGGGGGATAAAAATAAAATTAAGCCATTTACAAGTGGGATGGGATCTGTAATGACGGATACCATGTACTTAAGCCGTCAAAAAGACCAATCATTTTGAAGGGTGGGTCTTTCCAAATCTGAGAAGGGTGGGGCTCACAAACTAAACTTACAGACACCAGTCTAGACTACACACACTTCTATCAATCTTCACCCTCCAAAGCCAAAATAAAATATCAGACCGCTTCCTGCCTGGGCCTTTCGGGAACTCTTCTCTTTTCTCTCTTCCCTCACACCTTTGTGTGCTTCGGGTTCCCCAACCATATCTGCAACTGCAATAACACAGAAAGAAAGAAAGAGAGAAAAGAATGGACTCCTCCTTAATCCTCCACCGGGACCCCGGGCTCCTCCTCCCTTTACTACGCCCCGCCGCTCCCGCCGCCGTCTCCTTGTCCCCCCAGCTCCCCTGTCTCCTCTCCTCCTCCCCGGACCGGAGGCTTCTTTCTCTATCCGCCATTCCCTCCCCCCGGAGGCCCTCCGCTGTGGCAGCTGGCGGGACCTTGATTACCAATTCGGTAACCTCTCCGCCACCTTATCCACTCCTCACCCCTCCTTCAATTTAGTGCCAATTTGCATTTCACGTCCAGAGATAAGCTGAACACTGTCTCTTTTTAGTCTATTTAGAACTTAATTCTGCGGTAGAATTGTCATTTTTGAGGATATTGCAGAGTCTAAAAGAAGTAATTTTGCATAATTGCAGCCCAAGAGCGGAGTTTACACGGTGGGTGATTTTATGACCAAAAAAGATGAGTTACGCGTGGTAAAACCAACTACCACAGTAGATGAAGGTACTTGCTCTGTCTGTATTTGTGTGTTTACCCTTATCTCTTGCAGTTATACCGTAGGGCTTTTATTTTCCCCCGCCCCAAAATGATGTATGGATGTGATCCTATCTGTTAACAGCTTTGGAAACTCTCGTGGAATACAGAATTACGGGTTTCCCCGTCATCGATGATGATTGGAAATTGGTTAGTGAAAGATAATGTTCTTGCTTCTAGTGATTTATTTTCCGGGTGTTCATTTTCGTTACTGTACTTTGCTTCTTTTGAATGAGCTGTATTAGCAAAGTAGAAGGATGGGGAATGATTCGAGTTGTTCTTTTGTTACTGTAGGTTGGTCTTGTGTCGGATTATGACCTGTTAGCCTTGGACTCCGTATCAGGTAATAATTTCAAATCATTATGTTAATCTACCTATCCAATTATCATAGTTCAGAAAAATTATCATACTTTGGGCCTTAGAGAACAAAATTTCGCTGATTGACTGCTGAAATGCTGTAGTGTTGCTAATTCGCTTAGACTAGATACTTGACATGAATAAGCAACTGTTATGCTAAATCCAGTTTGCCGAAGAAAAGTTTTTATTTGTTCTCAGCATTTCAAATTTTTAGTAGATGACTTTCCAAGGAGATTCCTTAAGAATTAGTTCTCGTTTTGGCACCCTACTCCTGTAGGATCTAAATCCCCTATATTGAAGATATGGTACAGACATGCTTCAAGTTGTTCCTTACAATTTTCGTGTGTTCTACTAAGTGTAATCGATCGAGATTAAGAATGTGGTATTTCAAGTCAGTCAAATGGTTTGGGATGGCGTACAACCTGTTTGGTTTTTGTATTTTCTACAAGCACCTTGCGACTTTTCTTCAGAACTTTTTAGGCAGAGTCTTTATGAAGTTGCTGAAAATTTCTTTAATGTTTTGCAAATTGTTTCATTGTTTCAAACAGGTCAAAGCAAAACAGATAATGACCTGTTCCCTGAAGTTGACAGCACTTGGAAGGTATTGCAAAAGTTTGAATTGTTTGATTCTATGGTGCACAATTATACATTACATTTGGTTGGCAATTTTTTGGGATATTTGCATGCTTTGTTAATCAAGAATTTACAGAAATTGCCCTCTTGCAGTATCAGGTTTCAAGTTTCTGAACTTTCTGTTTCTTTAGTAATTGAATATAGAAAAGGATGAGAATCTTCACATATGCTGGAATATTGAGTGACTGTTTTGGAATTGCTAATACAGTCTTACACGAGTATATGGGACTGAGAAACAGTGGTCCTAATAGGAAAACTTGAAACCATGTTGCTGTGCGGGGGCTTATACTTGTAAGCAACTGTCCAATGGCATGCCATTGGTTTGGTATTGTTGCGTGAAATTCTATTCTTTGCCTGGACCTAATGCATCTAGATAGAATCAACCACTGCATGAAGAGGAACCATGTCACCTAAACTCTGTTTAGGCACGTCTCCCTGAAAAGAATCCTTTTGAGGAAATAATTGTTTTTTTCGACCTCTTATTGTTTATCTTTTCCTCTGCTTAAATTTGGGTATTTGTGTTCTTTCCTTGTAGCATCCTCGTCTACCCTACTCAACAAGCTCCTAACTTCTATTTATTACGTCGGAATTTCTATTTTTTCATTTTCTGCTTGATCTTGGATCCAAATCTATCATCTTATCAACTTCTCAATTTTTCTCTTTCGAGGATCTGCTTGCCTCTTTCTGTTTGTCCGGTATTACTGTTTGCGTTCCTCTTCTCTTCACCCCGACTCATCATTTTTTCTTCCATATTGCTCACACAAACTGGAGATAGCTTTACGCCAATGCCTTCAATCTTTTGTGGATGAGTTTTAGTGCACATGATCTTATCATCTTAAGGAGCTGTCTGATCTGAATGCAGTTCTTTTTCTCATCAAACATTTGCAATGTTTAGGAGTTCTCCTCGCTTACAATATCTCTGATGCGAAGGCATTTTTGGGGGGTCAAATTTTAGTGTCAGACCAAAAAAATATCATTTTGCAAGTGCTTTAGCAAATCAACTTCTCCCTCTGGAATCGAATGCCAATGTCCCTCTTTCTTTTGTGGATAATCCCGAATCCTTCTTGAACTCCTGTCCTCTAAGTTTCTGAAAGCCAACGACAATCATTTAGGAGAGAAATATGGAGTTTTTAGCAATTTGTAGGTGGAGGCAGGAAAGAATTTGTTTGGGTATACTTTATGATGCACGTCTGTGGTACAAGCTGGATATTCTGGATGGATATCATCAGGGCAGAGCGGCGGCATAATTGTCGGTTGCATGGGGCGCTTCCAAATTCCAGTTGCCAAGTGGCATATGAAGATTCTTTTTTTTGTGTGATCCAACCACGTGCTTCTCTGACATGGAATAATAAATGATGGTTGCAGACTTTTAATGAGGTACAAAAGTTGCTGAGCAAAACCAATGGGAAGGTTGTCGGTGATTTGATGACCCCAGCGCCAGTCGTCGTTCGTGAGACCACTAACCTTGAGGATGCTGCAAGGTTGGTTTATTTTCCCTCAATCCTCCTCCATTTTTCTGCTTTGTTCCTTGTAAGAGACTGCTTGTTATTAATTTGTGGATTGGCTTCCTGTTTCAATTTCAGGATATTGCTCGAGACGAAATATCGACGACTCCCTGTCGTAGATTCTGACGGCAAGCTTGTAAGAGACTGTCCATTTTTTTTTGTTTTTTCTGTTAATATGTTTTTACCTTTGTGGTTATACACTTATGTTACTGGTTTCCTGTTTCTACTGTTTAAGGTTGGTATTATCACGAGAGGAAACGTTGTAAGAGCTGCCCTTCAAATAAAACGTCTCATTGAAGGGCAATCTTAGTGTCCCTCAGCTATTCAAGGAATCATTGTCGCTAGGAGATGCTGAGAGTGGGAGGAGTTAGAGTTCCACAAAACGTCATCGTCTATGGTACGGAAAGGCGGCTATTCCAGTTGATCCCTCCGCTCTCCCACTTGCCCTCCCATGTCTTTACAAATGAAAGGGATAGAACTACAAAAGTGGACCAAATAAATTGTTAGATGAGCATGTCTGTGTTACGCAGTCTAGTAAAATGTAGGTCAGAGGAAGCTAGGGATTTTGCCTCCCCGCTGCTTTTATATCCTTGTAACATATACAGCACTGTAGTTCTGTATACAAAGTCTATTGTCAGTGTTCATTTGGATATTCGTACATTGCAATTTGATATCATGGCCCAGTGATATATCAGTTTGTCAAGGACAAGATTTGATAACCAACAGTTTTACAGAGTCTGGTTTTCGTAAACTCAAAAAGATTTCTTGGGAGGTGCCATGCAATTGAATAAACGGATGATGGTGGTTGCTGGGTCTTTAAATGCCGTACGTATAGTTGAAAGTTGAAACCAGAATGGGTCAAAAGACGCCCCTCAACTAATAAGTACAGTACACGCAGAAACTAAACGTGCGCAAGTACAACCTTATCGCCACAAAAATCATCTTGGCCGCCGCTAAAAGATTTAGCTTAACAGACACTCGAAGGAAAAGGATTCGTTGAGATTTACTACTACTTGTGACCAGACAACCCAGGATCCGCGAAACACAACAGCTGGTTCGAAATTAAGGAAAGCGATCAAAATCAAAACACACACACAGACAACATTAACCCGATAATCATGGACTGGTGTGGTTGGGGAACTGAACATGGACACAAGTTAAACAACACAAAAGTCAAAGACGTAACCAAATATGGGTAAGTAAGTACAAACAAATCCCAGCGTTTAAGGGGTGTTGAAGTATGTTAGTAATAAATTTTCTCGTTAATAGAGGAGCGGCGATTTTGACAAAGCATTGAAATCTTTTTGCAGGGGGAGGGAGGGGGAGTGGACCAAAACCCAACAAGACTGGGCCCATCATCATAATCATCATCCACTAACAAGGCAAGATAGTAGTAGTAGCAATCACCCGCACAAGCAAGAAGAGAGAAAAGAAAGGAATAGTCCCCCCCTCCCTCTCTTTTTGCCCTGACCCCTGGGTGCCCACATCCGAAAACAAGCTAACACAGTGGAGAACCAGAAAATACCTAACTCCAAATCTTATCACTTTAGTAGTTATAAAGCTTTAGTGGTTAGCATGGCTATTTGCACCAACTGCTGGGGATGTATGTAGGCCACCGCTGCTCCCCACCTCACCTCACTCACTCACTCCCTCCTCCTTTCCCCCATCCCCATCCCCCTCACTCTCAGCCTCCTCCTCCTCCTCCTCCTCTCTCTCCCCTTTACAACAATAAAAATAAAAGAAAAGAGACTTGGAAAAACAATTTAAAGGCACAATATTGCCAGGTCGGCAGCTAGGCCTGCCACTATTCCCAAAAACACCAAGTAGACAAGTACACTTCCCCTCTCCCCCTTCTTTGTTGTACCTTTTATGCACATCTCGTTCTTACTTTTATCCAAAATAAATTCTAAAATTTCTCAAATGGAATATTGAGACATAAAGCAGCCTCATGAGGCATAAGCAACTAATATACAATTAACCCATTTTACAAGGCCAAAATTTCCTTAATTTATCAAAGATAAAAATAATTTTTGAAAAAGAAGAGGGGACCTAAAACGAAGGAATTTAAAACATAAAAAAAGAAGAACCCACTAAAAGTAGTACTACCAACTACCGAGTAAATAATCCACATATTAAAAGCCTCGAGATTTTCACCATCAGCCACATATGACAAACATACCTCCTCGGCGCATGTTAGCAATCTCCGCCACCGCAAAAACCCCCCAACCACCACCACCTCCACCTAATTCATCCTCTCCCACTCCTCCCCATCCGACTCTTCCGGGTCAGGCACCTTGTTCAAGTCAACCCGCTCCACGAACGACTTCAACTCTGTCGTATCAATAGCTTTGGAGTTGTTATTTTCTTGAATACTATTATCACTACTACTACTACCCCCGTGACTATTTTGATAATACTGCTCCTCCTGGTGGTTGCGGCGGTGGTGGTGGTTATGGTTGTGGTGTTGTTGTTGATGGTGATGATGGTGGTGGTGGTGGTTAATCAAAGCGGTCTCAAGAGCATCAACCCTGGCTCCAACCTCGGTGGCTCTCTTCCTTATAGAAGCCGCCGACATGTCGCTGCATGCCCCGCCAGCTATGCTCTCCCCGGCCAGGAACTCCGGGAAGTTAAGCCTCGCAGACGGCCCCCGCAAGTAAAAGACCGCCGTGTCATAGGCCCTTGCCGCCGCCACCGGAGTCGAATAAGACCCGAGCCAAATCCTCGACCTTTTGTTGGGTTCCCTAATCTCAGCCACCCACTTGCCCCACTTCCTCATCCTTATCCCCTTGTAGGGCCTGTCGTTTTCCATGCCCCCTCCTCCTGTTGTTGCTCTCTTCCTTGTCGCCGCCGCCACCATCTCTTTTTCCACCCCGCTTTCCATGGAAAAAAATAAAGGAACAATCTTTTTTGACGGCGAGAAAAGAAAAAAGATTAATTCTCTCCTCTTTGTTTAATCTCTGGGAGAAGGGGAAGAGCTAGGATTGGAAGCAGGTGGTGGTGAGTTTCATGGCGTAGTGGAGGCAGAGGGATGGAGGAGGGTTTGTTGTTTGATTGATATTTTTGAGGAGAAGGGGTGTCATATGGGCGAGCTTACACGTTGGTGATGATTTGTTTTTGTGATGTGTTTTACTTTCTTTTTTTCATTTCCTCCAAAACCAAAAAATAAAAAAAAAATAAAAGGGTGTAATGATAGAGAAGAGAGAAAGGAGAGAAAATCCAAATTCACCGACACAAATCTTTGTGAATTTGTTTTTTTGAGAGGCAGGTGAGTTAAGTTTAATTGCCTTAATATTATGTTGGGGAGAGAGAGAGAGAATAGGTGAATGGGTAAGTAGAAGAAGTATAGATGCTTTAATTTTTTTTCCTCCTCTCTCTTTGCAATTGCATCCAAACAAGGCTGCTTTTGTTTGGCAAATAATAATGGCGGTGTGTGAGTGAGGTATTATTAGTATTTCCCTTTACTTGTTACTACTAGTATTTTATTATTTGTTGATAGGTGGTGATGGGTGGGTGTCGTTTGTGGGCAAGTGAAGTGGTGGTGGAATTCAAAGGTTGAGAAATAAAGGAAAATTTAAAGAAACAACAATAAAGAAGGAAGAAATGTCATGTGTGATGTGTCATGGGTAGGAGGAAATATTTGGGGGGAGATAAGATACAAATCGATTAGATAGGGATGTCATGTTTAGTAAAATATATATATTCTTAATTAATTAATTGATTGATGGTCAGTCCCTCTTCCTTTGTTTTTCTCCTCCTCTTTTTTTTTTTGGTCATTTGCAAATTTCTAAAGAAATGAGGCAAAGGGTAGGTCGGTGGTCGGTGGATAGATACCGTTAGGGATTGACTTTCCCTCCACGCAATAACGATATCAATGGATGGGCTTTTTTGTCCTTGTCAATCCCTCCCCCCTTTCTTTTTTGCTTGGAAGCTATTATGAAGGATGGTTTTTCCCCAATTAAATGTTTTACGGCCCACTTTGTAAAGCATGGGCCATACCCTGCTTCACCATTTTCTTTTCTCACGGCGGTTTATTTTTATAGACATCACATATATATATATATATATATATATATATATATATATATATATATATAGTACTAAACTACTAATCCTATGTCGACAAAAAAAAAAACTACTAATCCTATACCAACAGACTCATCTAAGAGATTACGAGTTCAATCTTTTGTGGAGAATGGGTAATTGATAGGTTTCACTAACCCTATTATTGTTAACCGTACAAAACAAATCCTATTATTGTTGGCTTCTTATTAATTTTCAGGTTTTGGAGTGGGAGTGATTTCTTATTTACCTTTTTGAATTTCTACTTCGAAAATGCAAACCGATCTCTTGCCATGTTATATATATTATTTGATTATCCCTTTCAAACTAAAATTCTCTTAGATTGTCTTGGAATCTACGTATATGATTTTCTTTACTCATCAAAAAGAGATCGCTCTGTGGTTTGTATGCGTATGTTTGTGGTTGCAGTCGACTTGCTTCTCTCTTAATTATTGTTTCTTCTGGATAAGAACAATAATTGACACAAACTAATAAGAAAAACCAGCTTTCATTTCCACTTGAATGATTGCGGTTTTTTTAAAAAAAATTTGGGGAAAACCCTAAAATGATTGTTGAGAGAGAGAGGGAGACCATACCTAGACAAGTTTTATTCTAATACGAGGATTGATATTTCTAGCTAGCTGCCATCTTGTCTTCTCGTGATACACATTAAATCGTTAATTATAAAGGTATTTTTTTAAGTTGTGGTATACGGAAGCTATTGAAAGACTCGATAATACTTTTATTAATTAAGAAGAAAGCAACCCAAAATTGTATTTTATAATTATCGACGTATTGTACGTCTAAAAGCCTCTTTTTTTTTTTCATTTTTAGCTGGTTTATTGGAGTAAGAGGTTATGCTTGCATCGTGACTTTTAGCTGTCATATAGCATAGTGCCAAATTATCATGCGCTCATATGGAGTATATGGGCACTTGTACCAAAAACAAAATGGAACCACTATTCAATAGCTCAAGCCATAAAGGTTTGCTAATAATTTAATCGGAATCAATCTTAAGATGATACGCAAATGAGCCATTGTTCCAATATGTTACTATTACAAGGAGAAAAGTTTGAAATGGGCTCCCGATGGTTTTACCTATGGTTTAGCATGCAAGTCTTTGACTGGAAAGCCATGGAGATCAGTAACATATATAATACTTAAAAAAGAAAAGTTAGAAGAGAGGGAAAAGAAAAAAGTTGTTACCAATGGGAGGACTGATGGTGGCAGCCTTCATCGCCAACCTTGAAC